ACCACAATAATAAAACCTAAAGAAATCTTCTAAGAAATTTACGTAAATATTCCACTATTTCCGATTGACAAACGATTTTGTCACTATAATAATAATAATAAAAAGTGAATATCTAAATACCTATATTAGTGATATAGAAGAATCATTTCGGGAACAGAAACGTTAAAATAGAAATTTGCGTTCTGATTAGTGTCGAGCAGTGATAAAGAATCTACAGTAATCTATTGCTTTGACAGTCGTCTTTGAAACGAATCTCTGATCGGTAGGCATACTTGCCAACGAATTAGTGTCCCATCACTTTGACAATGCTTTTGAACAATGAATAACTAGCATTATAAGGTTTATAGATAAGATGTTGAATTATTTTGTATTTATAGTTCATCAAGTGTGCCTTTCATGTCATTTGTAGTAGGTCATTTTAAAACAATCTGTATGTATAGCCAGATTAAATGAATTAAAGATATATATATGATATATGATATTATGGAATATTCTAAGTTATTTTTGCCCAATTAATTGACCTTACAGTTTTCGGGAATATTTCTATCATTCGGAGCCTATTCCAAGTTAACCATTGAATGCATCAACATCTCGTTGAAAAATATACTTTATATACTGCGAAAATATAAATCAAATTTTATCACAGTGGTCTTGGAATTATTTCTTATATTTTGTTATTCCTAAATAATTTCAAGAGACTGCAAGTAACAAATGTTGAACTCGTACCATGATAAATTTGAAGTTTACAATCAGTGTTCATTAGCCAGAATACGGTACTTGAGCCGTACTTGACTTTTATGTTTGAACTTGAAGTTTTGTCAATTTGCTGTGAAAATTCATTAACAAATTTACTTGCTGTATATTAAATTTCTGAAATGCTAATTAGAGTTCCGAGACATGCTATATAATATGAAATCACCAGCTAGATATAATCAAATGCAAGCATGTTTCAAAACAGTTGTTCAATATATTCTTAATCTATTTGCACGAATTTCTAAATCTATTTGTACTTTTTTCTAATGCGGGAGTCATGTTTTTCACAATTAGCGTACAAATACTAATCCGTAGTACTATAACTGGCCTTTATTTGAGCCCCAGTGAGCTTTAGATACAAGGAATCAAATCCAACCAAACTTAATATAACCAAAAGATTATAAACTGTGTCTTCAGCCACACGTATAGCCAGGGCTAAGTCTAGTCAGGTAGCCAACCCCATAACATAGGGTACCTCTATCTCTATAACTAAGAAATAGGTTTGCCCTATTTCTTCACCGGTGTTAGTGGATCGATGAACACTAACTGTCAAGATTAAATATAAAAATATTACCCTATATAAGTGTGTGTATATATACACTAAATAGTATTAAATATTAAACAAGTTAAATTTCCTATAAACCTGACAATATTTATTAATTTGAAACTAGCTCAAATTTACTCGCAAGTTCCGAGTAAATGAAATGGGCTGATATTTATCTATGTTCAATAATTACATCATCCAATAATAAATCTATTTTATATATATAATAATTAATATTCTAATGAATCTTGCAGGGTCCAATAAAGTTAAAACAGTATAGGTAGTTTATATCAGCGGCATACACAAATAGGAATATTGGGACTGAAAGAATACTTTGTAAATCCACACACATACGATTTCTTCATTTCCTAGTTATTCAAAGCACAACTTCCAATAATAAGAGACTCGGTAAGAATAAAATGTGTAGGGTTCTAAATTCAATTATTCTGACCCTTCATACCTACTTACTTATACTTACATCCGTTCTTCAACCTCTTCGAAAGCCATTTAACTAGAAAATGATTTATATCGACTTTCGCTTTTCGAAATAAAATATCTAAAGAAAATTAATTCTTCTTTTCGTAGTTATTCAAAGCACAACTTCCAATAATAAGAGCCCCGGTAAGAATAAAATGTAGGTTCTAAATTGAATTATTCTGATCCTTCATACCTACTTACTTATGCATACACCCCTTCTTCAATCTCTTCCAAAGTCATTTAACTAGAAAATGATTTATATCGACTTTCGCTTTTCGACGAAACCAATAAGCGATACTTAAGCTTAATGAAGTATTTTATAAGATATCAAATGCTCGTAATGTAAGTACTAAATGCTGGTAATTATTGAAAACTTTTATGATTATATACTATCGTTATACTATACTATCAAACTGTTAGATTTAGTAAAAAAACTAAAATTATTTAAATCTACTAATTATATTTTTTAATGTTGAACGGTGTCTTATCTTTTTAAATAATTGTTTTCGCGGATTAACAATGGATACTAAAAAGAATGCTTTGAGCCATTCTTACCTGGAGAATCATAAAAAGTTATAAGTTTTTCAAGAATTAGTGAATGAAGTAATTTTCTAAATGAATTTAACGATTTATGCATTAAACCTTAAACTTGTTGAAGTCTGTAACTAAGCCAATAAGCCAATCGACAAAGCTATTTTGTGGATTTCATTTGAAAGATACAAGTTATACAAGTGAAGAGAAAAAATAAAAAATTTTTTTAGAAGGATTAAAAATAAATTTAAAATTTCCAACTAATAAATTTATTGACATTGATAAAAATTTTATTACATTTTTTGAGAGAAATTTCAATCTCAAATAATGTT